CAAATGCTCAGTGTATGTAGTTACGTGTTTACAGGTATTTCTAAAATACCATGGTTGAGATTCTGGCAAGAAAAAAATCATTGTTATGGCACACGTCATGACCTCTAGCCTACAACAACCCTTTTCCACTGGAAGAATTGTTTCTGTAATGTTTTCTTAACTCTAAATAGAATTAGAAAAGGGAAAAGAAGGACTGATAAGTAGGGAAATAAAACCCCTAAAATAAATAATCCACTAGTACATTGAGTCAACACAAAAAGGGAGCCAACAAAGTGACACGTTAATTAAGAATAACTAATAATGCCTAGAAACTTAACTGCTTTGTATAAGTCTCTGCTAATACAAATTTGTCACCCTGCCTGGGGTGGGTTGATTATTTATGAAAATAGATATCACCACTTCATAAAGGAAAGGCTTTTTTTGAAAACCTAAATATTTCTTCAAATAAACTGTGAAGAAATTGAGAAAGTTGTCAAAGACCCCTCAAAGCAGTGCAAGTGCAAATAACTCAAATGGGTGAGTTGTTCTCAACTACAAGCAACAGATCATTCTGATGTCATTTAAACGGATCCATAAAGATAGAAAACCTTCAATATTTGAAAATCAGGTTAGCATATCAGTGATACCAAATCTGACAATGATAGCTTTAAAAACACTAAAACCCTTCTCACTGAAGGCATAAAAATCCTTGATAACACATAGAATCCAGACATGCATTAAAGGAATAATACACCATGTGGAAAATTTATTGCAGAAATATAAGAATGATTCAATATTTTCACCATTATGATATGTATTAGTATAATTCACCATATTGTTTGGTCGAAGGATTAAAAACATACTACTGTCAATAAATTCCATCTATTTCTGGATCTTAAAAAAAAAACAACTTTAGAAAAAGACTTGTTTATAACATACCAAAAAAACAATACCTATATCAGATCAAAAGCAAAGATATTTTCTGGTAACTACTAGAAGAATTAAGTTAAGACAGAACCAAGACTAGAATGCCAGCTGCAACATTGTTTTCTAACATTGTTCTGAAAATGCTAGCCCAGAATCATTGGATGGATGTGAGGGCTGTTCCCAGCATAAGGGCATCTGGCCAAGGGGAGATCAGGTCTGTGCTCCATTCATCCTGGCAAAAGGGTGGGTCAACTGGCAGAAAGAATGCTTTTTGCTGATTGGTCCATTCAGAGAGGTACCTTTATCTAATTGGTCTTTACAGTTGGGATGACTTGAACTAACTGGTCCTCCCAGAGGAGGTGCCTTTATCTAATTGGTGGGTGTCACCTTTGGCCACTTCCTTGGCAGGCACAGTATGCTATATGAGCCCTTGGTAGCTCTGTGCTACTACATACAGTTAGATGATAAAATGAATCAAGAGGAATAAAAAATACGTAAAGAGCGAACTAATTTATGATGACTTTCACATTATAAAATTGTATACGCAAAAAAGCCAAAAGAATAACTGAAAAACCATAAGAAACAGTGAAAGGTAAAGTGGCCAGTTACAAAATAAGTATTCAAAAAAAAAAAATCAATGGCTTTCCTATAAACAAACCAGCTGGAAAAATACATTTGAAGAAAAGGTCACTTTCACAATAGCAACACCAGAAGAAAACATTTAGGAATAAATGTAACAAGAAATATGCCTATATGACCTATATGAAGAAAACTGTAAAACTCTTATCAAGAGACACAAATAAGGCTTGAGTAGATGGAGAGACATATCTTGCCCTTGCATAAGGAGAGTCAATATTGTTAAGATATTAATTCTAAATAAACATACAAATTTTACATATAAATTTAGCATTTTGAATAAGAATTTCAACAAGATTTTTTAAAAAACTGGTTCTGAAATCTGTATGAAGGGTAAAGGTGTGAGATTACCAAGAAAATTCTGAAAGAGACAGATAATTACCAGAGACCATCCAAATATTAAAATGTTATTATATAACTTCATTAATTAAAACAATATTGCACTAGGATAGTAACAGACAGCTGAATAAAAAAGAACCTAGGGCTGGCCGAGCGGCGCGTTGGTTAAGAGCTGGCTTGGGACGCCAGAGGGCCCCAGTGTGGATCCCACATATGAGGGCCAGTGACACTGCCCTCTACAGCTAAGATGCTGAACAACAGCTCAACCTGGAGCTGGCCTGCTGTGAGTCCCCGGCAACAGCATAGGCTGCAGCCCCTGCTGCAGTGGGTTGCCATGGGCTACCGTGTGTAGCCAGCAGCCAAGGTGAGCAGCCAGCAGCCAGCATGAGTAGCCAGCAGCCGCTGTGAGTGCCCATCCAGAAGCCGGCAACTGATCTGCCTCGCCTGGGAAGAGCGCAATGATGGTGCCAACTTGGGCCAGTGAAGCAACGTCCTCCACAACTAGACTGAAGAACAAAAGGACAGCAACTTGTCTGTTCCCCTTCCATAATTCCCCAATAAAAATCTTTAAAAAAAAAAGATACTCAACATCATTAGTCATTAGGGAAATGCAAACTTAAACCACAATATAATACTACTACATAGCTACTAGAATGGCTAACTTTTTTTTTTTAAGTACTGGCAAAGATACACAGCAACTGGAACTGTTGTATATTGCCAGTGACATGCAAAATGGTACAACTACTTGGGAAAATATTTTTGCAGTTTCTTGTAAAATTTCTTATACATTCCATACCACCCAACAATCCATTCCTAAGCTATTACCCAAGAAAGATGAACATTTTTATTTCAAATATAAAAATTTTATTTTTACACAAGAACCTGTACCAATATTATTACAGAAGGCTTTACTTATATTCTCCCCCAAACTGGAAACTGGGCCGTTGCCAAGCACTTTTCTAAGTATTTTATATGTTTTAATGCATTGAATCCTCACACCAATCCTATCAAGAGCATACTATATCTTCCGTTTTTTTTTACAAGGACACCAAGACACAGAATAGTTAAGTAAGACATTAAGATTTGGGATTCAATTTGAGGCTGTGTGGTCATAATCAATAAACCGTTTTCACCACTACAATATAGTGCCTCAATCACTGAATGAAGGATATGTGTACAGCCCTTGGTCTAGAATGCATCCCCCAATTATAACCTTGTTCCTATGGAAACAATTGGAGAAGTCCTATTCTAAAATTCTGCATTGAATA